TAAACAAATGCTAATGTTTAGCAAAGAAATTTCTCTGGAGACACAAATTCATAGTTTCATAGTTGGTAGGGTCAGAAGGGACCTGAGCAGATCATCAACTCCGACCCCCTGCCATGGCAGGAAAGAGTACTGGGGTCAAATGACCCTGGCCAGGTGTTTATCCAGCCTCCTTTTAAAGACCCCCAGGGTAGGAGCCAGCATCACTTCTCTTGGAAGTTGGTTCCAGATCCTAGTCACCCTGACAGTGAAGTAGTGCCTCCTGATGTCTAGTCTGAATCTATCCTCTGCCAGCTTGTGACCGTTATTTCTAGTCACTCCTGGTAGTGCTTGGGGGAACAGGGACTCCCCTGGTGCCTGCTGGTCTGACTAGTTTGTAACAGGCCACTAGATCCCACCTCAGCCTTCTCTTGTGGAGGCTGAACAGTCCCGTAGCCTCTCCTCATAGGGCCTGCCCTGCTGACCCCTGATCATGCTAGTGGCCCTCCTCTGGACCCTCTCAATGCTGTCCACAACCCTCCTGAAGTGCGGTGCCCAGAATTGGACGCAGTACTCCAACTGCGGCCTGACCAGTGTTGCATAGAGGGGGAGGATCACCTCCTTGGACCTGCTTGAGATGCATCTGTGGATGCATGACAAGATGTGGTTGTCCTTCCTGACCGCATCCCCACACTTTCGGCCCATGTTCATATTGGCCTCAATAATGACTCTAAGATCCTTCTCTGCCTCTGCACTGATGAGAAGGGAGTTCCCCAGCGTGTAAGTCTACTGCTGGTTCTTCCTCGCCAGGTGCAGTACCCTGCACTTGTCAGTGTTGAAACCCATCCTGTTCTTATCCACCCACCCCTGTAACCTGTCTAGGTCCGATTGCAGCCTATTCCTCCCTTCTAGCATGCCCACTTCTCCCCACATCTTAGTGTCATCTGCAGATTTGAACAGGGTGCATTTTACCCCTTTGTCCAAGTCGCTGATGAAGATGTTGAACAGTGCAGGCCTGAGGACCAAGCCCTGGGGGACCCCACTGCCCACATCCCTCCAGGTCGAATAAGACCTGTCCATCACCACTCTCTGGGTGCGGCCCTCCGGCCAACTAGTGACCCATTTGACTGTGTCTGCCCTCTTTGGGCTTTTCCCCTCCCCACACACTGTGCAGACTCCAGACTCCAGCTAGGGGGACAGAGCATGAGTCCATTCCCCCACAACTTGACCCTTCTGTGGCTGGCTGGGGGGGGGGGGGCTTGTGAGGGAGGAGACCAGGACATTCACAGCCTGATGGATTCATGTTATGGGAGGGAAATCCCTCACCTTGAGGGCTTTCCTCAACACCCACTGTGCAGACTCCAACTGAGAGGCCAGAGCAGGAGTCCATCCCTCCCACCCCTCCCTGCAGCTGACAGGCTGGGGGCTGGCAAGGAGGTGTGGCAGGGGGTTTGTAGCTGGCAGAACTGGGAGGTACGCGTGAGCATCCCCTGCCTTCCAACCTTGGCCACTGTAGGCATCTGCCTGGCTTGGCCAACTGATGACTGAATGCATATTCTGCTCATTAACAGTCCAATCTATGCAGATTAGAGAAAGCTGCATAGATCGAATCAATTCTGCCTCAGGCTTTTTGACGTACTTAGTACAGAGACTCTCTCAGGTATGGTGAGTACCCATGGGTGGATGTCATATTTTGTAGTTTTGTGACTTCAGAGGAGATAACTACTTCTGATATTCCCCACTGAGTGATCAGAATCAAACCCTAATTCTCCATAGCCTTTCCTCTCTTACTGTAGTCTTCTTTATTGTGTGCTTGACGTTAGATTCTGCAGTAATCTGATGAAAGCACTGAAATTTCCTTCTTGAAAGACTGCTGAATAGGTGAATGTTCTGTAGCAGCTTCCTTCATGTTGATTAACTTCTAGGGCTGCGATCCAAAAGATCTGTGGCTCAGACTGTCCTGAGGGCCTTATGTCATTTGCAGAATCCAAAAATGCAGTTTGCTGCTACTCTCCCCACTTGTAACTGCATGGTGACAACTTAATCAACTTATGGTTTCTATTGCCAGTGAACTCACCCACAAGGAATATCCATCTGTCTATACCTACCTAGACAGATAGAAGCACCAGCTGGGTGAATTAATTTATTAAACATTAAATAAGTGTACATGCAAATTAGGTGTCAACCTCAAGCTTCTGACATGTTGCCAGCACAGTCTCTGTCACAACATTTGGATGCCCTGCAAAAGATCATACAGAACAGTTCAGAGTGGTGACAGCCAGAGCCCACTATTTCTTGTGGCTTTACATAGGGAGAAGAATGATTATCTAGTTTCACTCCTTTGGTTTAGCTCTATATTATTTTGCCTTGCTGCTACTTCATGGCATATTCCTGGTCCCCATCTTTACTTTCTCTGTTTGTCTGAGTCAAATCCCCTACTGCCAATTTGAGGATTTATCACCTCATCCAAAAGTAGGCCTTGGAAGTCAAGGTAATTTATTGGGAAAGATCACAGTAGAGCAATGGTGTTCTGCCTCTGGCCTGCAGGGCCAGATTCAGCCCAGAGGGCTCCCCTGTGGCCTGGAAATTTGGTGGCAGGGGAGTGTCAGGAGAGTTGTCATTCTCCTGCTGCCAAATTTCCAGACCTATGAGGAACCCCATGGGCTGGATAGCAAGGCCCTGTGCAGTGTATATGGTGCCGGCATGCAGGGTCACTGCAGCCTGTGTGGGATCCAGTCTGCAGACCAACCCTGTGAGCAGGAAGTTGGATACTGCAGTAGATAATCTCAGTGAATTTGAATTTGGCTCTGTGTATAGAACAATGATTACATTCAGATCACTGAAGCATTTAAACTGTCGTTTCAAAATTACCTTCTCTTTTTGACAGACCATTGAAGCAGAAATGAGCATATGTTACAGCGCACTGAAGTTATACATACAGAACTAACCTGTCCCTTGCAACACAGAAACCAATGGAAAGCAAACCCTGCTCCTTTGTGCACAACTACAATTAATTAATGATGTGTAGCTTATAAAATCCTCCTCCCTGCTGTATTGCCATCATGTCTTCAACTTTTTGTTGAAAATAATGGAATGTTCAGGATATATCTGGCATGTTCAGCAGCCCAGCTGGTGCTTCTTACAAAGATATTCCTAGGACAGTCATGTTATACCAGTTCAATAGGAAAAAAAAATTATGAGGACTGAGCCTAGTACTTTGATATAGTTCAGAATTCAGTGAATTCAGTCTTGCTATATAAATTCTCTTAATCCCTGAAAGCTACTCTTAAAATAACCCGCTAGAGAGACTCAGAATAGGAATTATAGTAAAAATGGTCATGGATTGGGACTCAGAGGACAGGGGTTCAATTCTAGATTCTTTCACAGACTCCCTGTTTGATTCTGACCAAGTCACATGCTCTCTCTGTGCCTTAGTTCCCGACTACAAAGACTAATTTTCTTTTAGGGTTTTTGGTTGTAGTCATGTTGGTCTAAGGACATAGGCAGACAAGGTTCTTTGGGTAAATGTGGTATCTTTTATTAGACCAACTAAATAGTTGGAAAAATTGTTCTTTGCAAGCTTTTGGATACAAACACCCTTCTTCGGGCACAAGGAGAATTTGTTGTTGCTTTGTGTGCTCTCCACCCAGGACAGCACACAAAGCAGCAACAAACTCTCCCTGTGCCAGAAAGAAGGGTGTTTGTACCTGAAAGCTTGCAAAGAACACATTTTCCAACTATTTAGTTGGTCTAATAAAAGATATCACATTTACCCAAAGAACCTTGTCTGTCATTTTCTTTTACTCACTTCTTTAGAATGTAGACTCTTCAAGGCAGGGGTTGTTTCTTATGTGGATTTAGTGTCCAACACAAAAAGGTCTTTAGGCACTACTGTGTAATGAACATTAACATTTTTGTAATTGGAGTGCCTAGTCAGGATAGGGCTCTATTGTATACATACAAAGACACTGGGTATGTCTGCATGGCATAAATGATTACACAAAAACATACATGAACTAGCTTGTAGACGCATAAGAATACTTGCTGTCCTTGCTCCGACGGTAACTATGACTTACACAAATGAAACTCACTTATACCAACAAAGTAATTTGAAACTTAATGGAAAGGAGTTTCAAATTATATTGGTTTATCTATATTCTCTTCAGCCTTGAAAATGATGAAGGATTTTAATATAGTATACATATAACACAGATCTTTGGTAAATGTTCCAGATAATTTGGGGTTAAGGAAAATTTCCAGATTGTAAACATTTAGAATCAGAAAACTACTTCTGGAAGGGACCTTAGGAAGTCACCCAGTTCAACTCCCTGCTCAAGGCAGGATTCATCCCTTCTTAACCATCTCATCTAAGAGTATGCCTATCACTTATGATTGAAGGCTTCTAGTTGAAGACTGAAATAGTGAAAATTACCCACACGGAAGTCTTAAAATGCTCCCCACTTAATCTAGGTTGCCTTAATTGATGTACCTCACTTACATATTGATCTGGCACCCAGTACTAAGGGGATTAAGAGATATTAACAGCTTGTCTATAAGGGGATACACAGCAGAAATAAGATAAATTAAAGTGCATTAAATCTCTTTGAAAACATTCTCATTCAGAAGCAAAGGGATCTTATTTTATGGTAGGTTAATTCTCACTGGAACAGTGACCTTAGATCACCTTCCTTTTGAATGTGTGTGTCTACATGGGTTTGACGTGTTTTACTTGCGCTCATTAACTTCTCAGCTTTAATTAATTTATCTTAACTTTCCTGACAGTCTGTGCACATAAGTCCTATGTTGTTTGACCAAGGTCTCACAGGAAGCTTCTGACAAGCATGGAACAAACTCAGTCTTCCAAGTCCCATACGTCCATGCAAACCTGGGCCATCCCTTTTTGAATGGAGGGAGAATTTACAGTTCAGATTTCATGTCCTTGTAATCTTTCACCTCTTCATTCACATTGTCAACAAATACATCAAATAGTGTCAGTTGGGATGGTTGTTTTGTTAGCTACATACCTGCTCATGAGGGCAGGACTAAATTTCAATTAATTCATCCAGGCTTGCAAATAGTAGCAGTTCTGGTTCCCAGTGTCTTGGATTGGACTCAACCTGGTAAATTAGAAGTAAAACGTTTTTAACTGTATTGTCAGTACCATGAGATAGTCTTCTTAATCCTAGCAGATAAAGCAATTTCTTTGTTCAAGTCAAAAGTGGGTATTTGCATTACTGACTAGAACATTATCAGCTTTTATGTTCACATGCACATATTTTAATGCCCAGCTCCAGGATCTTTGAAATTCACTGCTGTAATATACAATTTATGGCAGAAACAAAAGCAGAACTTGGCAAGAATTTAATTTGCAGTAACTATGACTCCTTATCTAATGCTTTAATCATGCTCATACAGCTCAAATCACTTTGATGATTCCATTGAAAGCATTATAGCTTTTACATTCTGTGCTTCCAAAACGGAAAAAGTTAGACATTGAGAAGCATGGAACAACATTAAGAGAATTATAAGTCCTAAAAGCTTGGAAATGAATCTGCTAGTCAAACCAGGCAAAACAGGATTGCAGAGTGAGGCTACACATTGTATTTTCATGACATCAACATTGTACAGCAGTGATCTAATACATAAATAGGGAAAACCACAAAGGGCCAAGTTCTGCACTAACTTCTGCTGCAATACCATTGGATTTCAATAGGGATGAATAGGCTGAAAGCCAGGACACAATTTGGCCCTGAGTGGAAACAGAACTGTATACAACCTTCTGGGTCACTGTGTCCAGTCTTCTGCTATTGCAGGAAACAATGTCCTATAATCCTGATCATTAAGAGATCAAATTCCACCTTAAATCTAATTGCATTTCTTGCCCCCACTATTCCTACTGTAAGAGTCCTCCAGAAGTTTACTGATAGTTTGAAAGCTTCTAATTTCTAGCCAGTTAATATATTTACTTGTTCTGTAGCTTAATAGTTCTTCTCCCTGCCTTGATTTCATGAAGAGTAATCATATCTTCTCCCAGCTTCCCTTTTGCTAGACCCAGTGTTTCTCAACCAGTGGGATGCATCTCACTGGTGGGATGCAAAGATTGCATAGGTGGGACTTCAATTGATTGCCCGATTGAAAAAAATCAAAGTTGTTTGCACTTCAAATAGATGAATGAACAGGTATCTCGAACAGTGCAAAAGTGGGGTTTTGCTTTTATAATGGAGGGACCAGGATTTTTTGACAAAATGGCTGGTGGGACGTAAGATGGAAAAGGTTGAGAGCTGCTGGACTAAACAACCTAAGCTCTTTCAGTTTCCTCTTGTAAGATAAGCTCTCCTTTTGAATTATTATCCTGGAAGCCTGTCTCTGCACCTATTCAATCTCAAACAATCTTTCTTGTATACAGGTGACCAGAATTGTGTACAATATTCCAGAGGGGATCTCACCAGTACTTTGTATAATGACAATAATCACTGGCAATGTGTAGGGGGTGCACGCAGGTGCACATGTACCCCTTGAGCTTGGCGGTGCACCCCCTGCAAAAAGGCGCCACTGACACTGCTTTTTTAGAATTGTATGTATCTTTTTCATGGCTGCATTATCTTAGAGGTTAATAGACATCCTTTGAATAAGATGGCTAAGTTTGTCTTCCCTCATTTCCAAATGAAAGAGCAGAAGTTTTTGTTATCAGACCCCCAACTACAGACCTTGCAGTTTGTACTGCTAAATTTCATCCTATTTCAATTATGCTGGTCTTAAAGGTTATCCATAGCATACTGATCTTCCTCCATGTCGATGTTGCCTTCTAATCCCTGGCATCATGGGATTTCATTAGGACATTTCTACTTCTTATTGTTAATGAAAATATTAAATCAGTCCTCAGACCAGTTCCTTATGAACTCCACCTTGATTCTCAGTACCAATTAACACAGCATTCAAATCTTGGTATGTGTGTTGGGCTTTACAATGTTCAAGTCACTTTCAAGGATATTTTGCATTGCTCATCAATTAGATGAGGTACATGCAAGTCCATAGTTACAGAAAAAAGGATTTTGAATCAAAATCAAGAAAATATGTTGCACAGATGCAAAAGCAGGTAGCCTGCTTTAATCTGTGTGGTATGACATACATATGCTATAAAAATAAAGATCCTACATACAACTTCAGACAATATTACATACAGTTCTTATTAGATTTTAAGCAAGCCTCTGTAAGTGCCCAGGAGACATTGCAAATTGGGTGTTAATGTTTCTAATAAAACAAATTACTACTGTCTGAGAAAGCAAAAGCAGCCAATAAAACTTCTTGGACAGCACTACCAAATTTGTGTCGATGGTAAAAGTGTTATAGTCTAGACACAAAAGTAATAGAGAGATTATAAATTCGTACAGTGAAGTGCCAAAATTGTTTTGCAAACCGAAGCTGATAATAAAATCACTGAAGTAGGAATATGTTTGCAGAAATAATAATCTCCAGAAGACATGGCACAGAGCGGCCAACCTTAGAAACACTATTAACCCTTAGGTGGGAGGATTCTGATTTTCCAGTGGGATGCTCTAATGCATTTAATACTAGTGATAATGGCAGGAACTCTTGACCCGATGGATTCAAGGGACTGAATACAGGGATCCACCATCCTCCTTCCTGACTACACTATCCTCCTTCCTGCTCTCAGTGTTTTTCGTGTACATGTTCATACATTCCAATAGCACCCCTCTTCTTGTTGTTGAAGTTGCTTTTCAGAGTTTAGCAGTATGCATCAACTTTGGGCCACGCAGACCCTTTAAAAATGATCACAAGGTGCCATTAGTATCTCTCCCAGGAGCCACTAAGTTACATTGTTATGAATTGGTACAGAGCAGACTGCTCTGTTTCTACCCCTGGCTAGAAACAGACATGGAAGCCTTATAGCATTACATTCTTCCTTCTGAGAAAATGTAGCTACCTTAGTGACTGTGTAGATTTAGGAGGTCTGTAGCCAAATTTAAAAGGAACAGAAATTCCAGGATTCATATGGTGTACAGAATTATTAAATCTACTGTGTTTTGTTTTAAAACCATTGTTTAAACATGACTTTTCTACTTGAGAAAGAAAGCAAAACCTTTCAGATCCTCCAAGGAAAAAAAGCTTCATTTTTATCCAAGTTCCCCCTCTGTGCTTCATTTTTATCAAAGTTCAAAGTCTGTCCTATTTTAATCCATGCAGCTATGCACTTGGCAAAGAATTCGTCCCAAACCACAAGTCAAAAGTCCATGGAAAAGTTTTACATAGTGGTAATATCTAATAAAGAGCCAGCAGAATTCCTGCATAGGCACCACTGTAGACACAGAAAAGAGGCTGTTTTTATCTCCCCAACTTAAGGCTAGAAGAGTACCCCTAAAGGTTGGCTCCCCTTAGTGGTTCCCACGGGACTTTGCAGGGGTGCAGAACATCCAGTTCCACCCCCAGCCACTTTCCTCATCTAGCCCATTCACGAAGTGCTTCCATGGTCCCAGTCTATTTTAAAATGGATCCACTCATTCAGGGCTGCTGTGGTGTCAGTAGAGACAGCCCAAGAATTAACAACGTCTCTCAGGCCATTCCTTTCCACTGGTTTATGGCCCCTTTTTGCACCAGAACCTGAAGAATCACTAGAATAATTTAGACTGCAATTACAAATGAAAAATATGGCAAAATGAAAATATATAGAAAAAATAGGAAAAGCAGGGGGTAACCATCCTATATCACTCTGAGGATTAAAAAATAAAATCAGCCCCTTGAAAACTTGTCTCCTATGATCACAAAATATCAGGCACATGCTAATGAAAGCACTTGCAGTGCCAAGAGAGGAGAGAATGGAAATTTCCAAAGCTGAATGGTCACTTCCTTAAAACCTTTGAAAAGCATTCTGTTTATTCAGCATGACACTAGGGCCATGCACAGATGTTCAAAAAGCTGGGGGAGGAATTCATAGGTTACAAAGTTGTCTTTAAGACCTAGTTTACATGGAGAGTGAACAGTATACATGTTTGCCCTTTTGGGTGTTGGAGGATGCACAGGCAGCCTGCACTGGCTGAGGCCTGTAGGCACGGGGGCGCTCCTGCATGCCTACCAGCCTGGTGGCCTGGTGCCTCAGCTGTGGTCCAGGAAGGAGGGATGGAAGGGGAGGGAGTGATTGGTCTGCCTAGTGCTGAAAGACAGAAGCCTCTCAAGCAGGGCAGGGTGATTCACCAGCCCCCCGACACCTGTCCATTCATGCACCATCCCTTGCCTTTCTGGACTTCTCAGGTACAATGATCTGTGAGAAGCGATGTGACCATGGGGGTACCCTGTAGTGGCCACTAGCCCTCCAGGGGCTGGGAGGGGGCAGGGTGGGAAGGCCAGCAGGTTGGGTCTGGAAACAAGCTTGAACAGAGGGCTTAAGGCTGGCAGAACATTATTGTGCTGCTACTTGCCTGCCCCACTGTCTGTGGGCACAACCTGACTGCTCCCCTTCTCTGCAGAGGCTTCATATTTCCCTCAGTACCTGGGTCTCTGTCATGGCCATGTGGAGCATGGTAGAGCCATACTATCCCGAGCAGCAGGGCATCCTCAATAACTGCCAGACTCGTCACCAGAACTGGGGGGAGGGCTGGCTGTGGGTCATGCTGCTGCATTGGTAGTTGAGGGGCTGGGGGGGCTCTGTGCATCTGGAAACAGGGCAGTGAGGTGTTGGAGAAGGGGGAGCAGAACACCTATGGTAGCTGTGTCTGCAGGGTCAAGGACCAGGGGTGGGGCTCCCACAAGGTGGAGGGCATAAGCTCAGGCTCCATGTCCTGGGTCTCGATTTGTTTGGTATTGAAGCTTTCCTCCTTCTCCATGCTCTCAACAATGCTCAAGAACATGTCAAGGGAGCTCAGGTCCAGCTGCAGGTACAACACCACTGTACTTCCAGGTCCTGTAATGATCTGGCAAACAGGACCATTGGGCTGGAGTCCTTGGGGGCTGTTGCCATCAGCAGAACATGGGCCCATGGCCCCTGGGGGCCTACTTCTAGTTGTCCTGCCATCCCAGGGTCTTCCTGTGTCTTCCTGTGGGGTTCTTGTTGGCGACTCCTCCTCCCTCCCCAGTGATGCTGTACATGTGCAGGGTGGCAATGGCTCTGTCTGTGGTGAGGAAGTGGGACAGCAGCTTGTAGAAGGGCACTGCCTGCCTCTTGGTCCCAGACTTTAAATTGGCATTATGCATGTTATATACTGGATCTTCATCCATTTAGTCTTGGCTTGGCACCGCACCCAGTTCTTGTTTTGGCCCTGTGTTTGCATCTGCTGGACAATGCACTTGCACACATCCCTGTTGCAGTGTCCTTTGCGGAACTGGGTCTTCTCCTTTTCCCAGATGGTGACAAGATTCCTCAACTCTCTGTTGCCTAATTTGTGCATCCAGAGTTGGGTACTGGAGGATAGGACTGGTTCTTCTATGGTCCATGATGATGCCCATGGGATCTCCGTGTCTGTGGGCGGGCGAGGGTCTAGCTGCAAGGAGATGGATAGATGGAAGGAACAGTGGGTGCATATAGGTTTGGGTCCCGGCGTGTGGCTCTCCCTCTCATTTCAGCTGGCTGCAGCCCCTGCTCCGGAGTGACTAGGGCTCCGCTGCCCTGTGATTTTGGCAATGTCCCTTGCCTCAGCTTGGAAATTTCCAGTGTCCTCTACCTGCAACACTGAGGCAGCTGGACAAGCCCCACCTGATCCTGAAGTTTCCAGGGGCATCTGCCTGCTTGTCCCAGTTTGGATGGTCAGTAATACTCCCCTCCCTCCTGCCTTCCCTAGCCCTAGTACTCTGGGACCTTGTAGTTGTGGGCCAAAAAAACACTTGCAGCACCCCAGGTGACACGGCCCATGTACCTGCTGGCAGTGGCTGAACCATGGAGGTCACAGAGTCACCTCTGTGCAGGCCCAGTCCCAATAATCTGGCCCTGACTCACCAGAGATGAGCCACCCTGACCCACTAGAGATGAGCTGCCTGCACTGGCTCTTGCTTGAGAGCAGCGTGGGGGTGTCTACGCTGGGGTCTGGGTCACTGCCTCTGAGATGTGCTGCACAGGTCCCAGGGTCAGGGTCCATGGGCCTGTGCCTGAGGGAGTGGGTTTTCCTGGTCTCAGTGTTGGGGTCTGCATGTACATTATGGGATGCTTTGTGATGCAGGGGTGTGGAAGCACAGCCCAGGGACTCAGATGCCTGCATCCCATGGTTCACACAGGGGACACAGACACCTCCCTTTCCCCTCTGCTCCTGGTTGGAGGCAAGGGGCAAAAGCTGAGAAGAGGGGCTGTGTTTGCTCAGTGCTGGGAGAGCCTGGGGGTGGGACCTACTGGATGCTCGGCTGGAGCAGCTAAGTGTGGGCCAAGCACTAGCATGACACCCTGTGGGGGAAGGGGCTGCAAAGCAGGCTCAGATGCCAGAGGACAGTAATTTAATTTGAATTGATATGGGAACAGTATACACGTTTGATGTATCTTTCTTACCTACAAAGCTCTGAATTGAGTATACCTCACAACAGGTGCATCTTAGACCACTTGTGTCATTATGTGCACTGAACTTCTGTACAGTTACAGGTTTAGATTGATCTATACATTTAGATTGGTCTAACTGGACAATGTCTGTACATGCCCTAGGTTTCTTATCAGCTCCTATGGCAGTCTGAAGTCATTGTTATATTTGTGGCTGCACAACCTAGAGGGTTATAGCTCACTTCCGTAATTCTTAATCAGGTGAACTTCTCAATAAAGAACAAAGAAGCCAGATTTTGTTAGGGGGTCTGTTAACAGTTGCACCATTAAAGACAGTAGCTGGAATTATGCCTGCTTTCACTAAGGTTTGAGTTTGACCACGACAGTTTTGCTTAACTGTATAGTTGGGCACTATGGGATAAATTAATCCCTTTTGGAACTCAAAAGCCCTCATTTGAGCTCATTTAGAAAGTGAGCAGTAGGAGCAGACAAAACTGAACAAAACTAACATTTTAAAATATTAGTAATGTAAGTGACTAAAAAGAAACAGAACACTTAAATTATACATCAGCAGCTCTTATTCGGAATGCAATGCTTTCAGTTTCCCCATGAGGAATCGGAAGCACTTAGAGAAGAAAATAGCAAACACCACCAGAAGCCTGTGGTGCAAATAACTGCCGAAATGATTTTCTTCCAGCCTATGTTCCATATTCCACAGAGAAAAGAGGATAATGGAAGTTATAAGGAAGCTTTCAGAAAAAGGGTTACCCTGATTATAGAGAAGGATAACACCATAGGGAACAATGTTATCAACTTCAAAACTTAAATGAATGATAAAAAAATTCAGCGAGCTAATCTTCTGATGATTCCGAAAAAAAATAAAAACAGCAGAATGTAGTTACCAACACAAGCTCACTTTTGTGTGGAAATGTTTTTATCTTATTGCTGCAAATCCTTACAAAACACTGCTACTATCATGTATTGCTTAGAGTCACTGGAAAGCAGAGATGCAAACACCACACAAATAAGCTCTACTATTGTAAATTCATATTTACACTGTAATAACTACTTGCTTATATAGAAGAGTAGCGCCCCAAGATAGGAATAATGGGCAAAAGTTTATTATTGTTCGTATCAGTTTACAATGCAAAGTCCCAGGCTAGAATGCAGTCTAGAATACTTAAGTTCTGGTATGGTCCTTTCTCCAATACATTATTGAACTATGGCCCTGGACAGGCATTTTTAAACCAGTGTAATTTTGGAGGGGGTTTTTTTACATCAATGCAAATTATACCATCATCCACTGTAGACAAACATGCAGCAACTGCAGAGTAGCTGCACACAGCACTTCATTACTACTGATGCACCAGCAGGTAATAGCTTCTTTGCACTGAGATGAGGGAAGATGACCACTTTCAGCAATAAAACTGGCAGAGTTTTACTCCTCTTTCTTTCTACTCCAGCGTATAAGAAGTTCTCTCACTGGAGGGTCTTCCATCTCTGTCCTCTTTTCTTATGCCAGTAGGAATATGTTGTCCTTCTAGGCTCTATGTTAGAACCACGGTAAAAATTGTAAATAAAGGAACTTAATTTCCCAATAGTTGTTAGGCAGACAAGGTTCTTTCGGTAAATCTGATATCTTTTAACAGACCAACTAAATAGTTGGAAATATTTTGCTTAGCAAGCTTTCAGGTTTAAAAACCCTTTGCTAGGCTGAGGAAGCATCTGCAGTTGGTGTGTCCTCTTGCTGGATAGAATGAATAGTAAAGAAGCCAGAGGCTGGTATGCATGCAGGAAAGCCAGTCAGTAACAATGTAAATTGGGGAGTAAAGCAGTAGAAGAAAGAGTAAAAGGAGGGCGGGGGGGGGGGGGGGGGGAGAATATGAATGTAGTAAAAAGTGAAGAGGTACCTGGGGAGTCAGATGTCAGGCAGGTTATAATGTCTCATAACGCCGATGTCTATATTTAGTCCATGATTTTTTGTATCCAAGAGGTTGATGAAGTGAAATTCATAGGCTATTTCTCAATAGTTGTTAGACATGTAAAAAACGGGAATAAAAATATAATAGTTACTGCACAAGATGGGTAAATTAAAGGAGTCATCTTTAAATGGAAATTAACCACAGGATCATTTTGCAGTAACTTGTATTTGCTTTTCTGAATAGTGGGCAGAAGAATTTGTAAAATCTGAGGAGCTAAGCAATGCAGAACCAAATCATTTCTTGTTTACCTTTAGCTTGCTGCTGGCAAATGAAAAAAAAAAAAAAGGAATCAGCATTAACAGAACTATTCTAAAAGCTGCATTTCAGTACCTTGGGTGGAGCTAAACTATACCACTTAATATTTAGTCCTCTAAGCACTGATGTTGAGTTGGGTAACAAGATCGTTTAATTTTTTTGTGCAATTATAATAGAAGACATTTACTGCAGTAAGATGAAGGGCACAAACAGCTTAGCTTTTGTTGAAAAACTGCAGCATTATCACACTTTCATAAACCCTATCAGAATCAGAAGAATGCTGTTTGCTGGAGTACATTTCCATTCCCTATGGACAAGAAGGCCAATGTTGCGCAGCTGAGGCAGGGTATGATCAGTGCAGAGAGTCTTGAGCTTACAAGGGCTGAAATGCCTGAGGACAGTAAGTACTTGGCTGATATCAGTTCTAGTTAAGTATCTTGCAAGATACTTCAATCCACAAAGCGACAGCCAAAAAAATGTTGGAGAACTGGTTCAGAGTATATGATATACTCCAATATAAGCAAGACAGCAGAGATATGTCATAGTTCTTTGTTGTAATTCAATGTTTCTAACATTGGCTATATTTGCACACTCTTCAAAATTATTTATTGGGAGAGGGGAAGATTTTTCTTTTTGGGATAAGATTACAAAGATAAATAAAGAACATATGCATGTACATATGCATGTATCCATGTATCTGTTGACAAGGTAGTTTGATTACTGGCCAAGGCTTCTGAAAGAGCCCAAATTCAATTTATAAATAGCCTGAGGCTCCCTGAAAGTCAAGGAGAGATTCCTGAATGATCTTTCCATTTGAAAAAAAGAACTTGTATTCCTAAACATCAGTTTAATTCACTGAAAATCTTATTCATTACAGTTCCCTTTGAAAGCACATGAAAAAAAGCCAAGGTTATGTTGCTTTGGTAATAAAGAGTACAATTTTATTGAAAACAGGGTACTAACATCCGCAAATAAAAAGATTAAAAAGATGCTTGTTCAGCTCCAGTTTCTAACGCACTGCAGTGTGGGACAAGCAGTCTCCTGTCTCTGATATTCTCAGATTAGTTTCCTGTGTTATGAATCCTGAATTGCCACCACCAGTGGAGCCATAATGATCTAGCCATCAGTATCTGGGGGAATGGTGGCAATCAATATGGTTACTCTCCCCTGCTGCCAAATTCCCCAAACCTGAGCCCTGTGCAGCAGGTTGTGGGCCTCCTCCCTCAACCTCCATGGCTGGATGAAACCAGGCCATGCCCTGCCCCCAAGCTGGATAGACTTGGGCCATGCCCCCTCTCCTGTCAGGGCTGGGTCATGTCCTCCCCACATGGGGCCAGGTTGGAGCCAGGAGGCCCCCTGTCCCGAGTGCCCAGATAGGACCCAGCTGCCACTGCATTGTGCCAGATCGAGATGACTAGCCAGATCTGGCCCATGGACAGCCAGGGCACTACCCATCTGGCCTGCTAGGCACAAAGGATGAAGGTAGCCACTGCTCTAAAATAGATACCACAAAAACTGTATATTTTAAATGCCTAAAGAGTCAGGCAGTGACAGATTAATAAGCCTCTAGCAAATACTGCCAGTCCTGAACTAGGCAAGGAAAAAAAAACCCCAGAACCCCAAAACAAAGCCAATTGGGCTGTATTTACATACATGGAAGAAAACAACATGCAAGATTGGCAAACAAATTTAGACCCTTGATTCTCTTAATTCTCCATCTTTTCTTCCAAGTAACTTGGCATCTTGTTTACCTCTTTGTCCTGAGCCTGGTGGGGAGAGAAAAAGCCGTTTCTCCTCCACCCTTTAAAAGTTTGCTTTGGACTGGGAAAAGAGCCAATTCTACAGTGGCTGGTTCTAGGACAGGAAACTGCCTCACCTGAAAAGCATGTCCCAAGTGACCCAAAAGATCCTTCTGTCTTTTTAAACAACATTCATCTGAAAAAAAGGGAGTGGGGTATATTCTTTCAGCTGCTTCACCTTTATAAACAGATGCAGACATTTATATACAAAAAATGTACCCATTATGGTATACTGCAGTATCAAAAAAATAAAAGAAATGAACAATTTCAAGTGGATTTACATTAAATGTGTCGTGGCTGTGTAACCCTCACAATAAGTATCACAACAAAAAGAAACCATATCTACTTTTGAGCCTTAGAATTGTGGCTTTAAAGTATGCCACAAATCTGGCTTCTCCAGAGACTGCATTCTGGCTACAAAAAAAGAAATGATTATAAGCCTATAAGCATTATGCAGATTGCAGTATAAAACACCATGTTAATAAATATTGTAATGTTTGGGACAACACAATAGTTACTATGATTTTTTTTCATCCTTTTCATTGATGAATACCTTGTATAGTCTTTTTTTCCTGAAACTGGGTCCAGAAAACTATTGATTTCAGTGGTCCACAAGGACAAAACAGGTAAATTTGGTGGCAGTTAATCATTTACTATCAGGCAGACCAAGAGACAACGTGAGTGATGACAGAATACCTTTTATTAGAAAGAATAACAAAGTGCTTTCAATCATATTTCACACAGATATTTTTAGAAACAAGATTTCTCTCTTATGAACAGTTTTAATGTGGCACCTTTTCCAATGCAAACTGTACACCATAATCAAGCATTTACACATCGGAAGGCTCAGATACATGTACTAAAATGTCCATTTTTAAAAAAACAGGAGAGCTGCGTGGAAAATTTCTGACCAATAAGGATTATGTAATTTGTTCTGTAATAAATATTTGAGGGATGTAACTTCTACATACAATTGTATATGCATGTACATAGCTGGAGCTAGAATTAATAAATATCGTAACTATTAACATTAAAAATGAAAAGTCATCATTATCGTTTCATAGAACCGGAGGAGACCTTAAGGGTCTCAACTTCTAAGATACAATACTCCTTCTAGCCAAACAATATATTACAATTGTATTTATCCTTTATTTTTAGACTGTGCACTAAATCTACATTCTTTGCATACCAAACAATCCCACCGACTTCAACCTACAGTTCTGAGGAAAAAACAATGCGAGTAGGCTTCATCCATTTCTTTATGGCATTTGACTAATTCACATTCATTTTTTAATGTACATGTTTATTTCACTCTCTTTGCGCACACAACCCCATTTTCAAAACAACAGAGCTGTCTCCTTGGCTTACCCTCCAAAAACAGTAAGGAAAATAAAATTATAGCTGTAGCATACAGAGATTAAAGTGGAGTGCTCTGTATGGAACCCTCCTAAGTGAGAGAATGTAAAGAAGAGAAGCAGGGGAAATTACTGAAGCGGAAAAGAAAAAAAAGGAATGTCTAAATCAGTGGGAATGCCACAAATTAGACCTGCACCCTCCCCAAGTGCCATTCTGATCCCTTTCCCTATCTGTTGCTCTACTTTCTGCTCCCTGCCCTGTGCTCCCTGCCTGATCTAATGCTTGTTTTCTGATTCCTGCCTGATCTGTCATCGTGCTGCTGGTTCACTGTCCAATCTAACACATGCAGAGGCTGTGCATGCCAATTGTGGCACCCGTGCCATAGGTTGGCCACTGGTGCTCTAAATGATAGCTCATTAAAAAAAAAGCCAGGAGAATGTCTGGGATGAATGTTAATGCATGTAATAATCACAAACAGCATGCATATAATAAAGTAAGAGATCTATATTGTTGTCCCTGCTTCATTTTTGTCTGTGATCAATTAGCTTCACTTTCCCTTAACACAGGAAACCACGGGAAGGTTTCCTTTTATTTCAGAAAACTAGTACAATGTGCATCACAATATACAGTCTAATACAGTATATACACCATTGCAGCACTAAGGATAACCTGCAAGATGTTAACTTTTACCAGATGAGAGAAAAGGGTGAAATGCGCTGAACGCTAACTTGCAACTTACATGGAGGGGGGGTGGGCTGAAATTAGTAAAGGATGAAATTTTTGGCCTGAAATTAGAAAATTATAAGATTTTTGGAATAGAGCCCTTTTACAGACATACACAAAAAACACATTCAATATGCAAAATGTACAATGTCTATTTTACTTTTCCAAAAGGATATACTTAAATATTTACCCTTAGGCACTTGTGAGTCCAGAGCTTGCCATTAAGATCATACTGTATTTGCATTTAGCTTTTCAACTTCCAGGAGCAGTTGACAAAAGACATATCTATGAATATTTTATGCTGTAGTGTATTCCCATATCATCAGCATCATTACCAAAATGCTCTAAATGTACTTAGACACCCAACTCCCATTGATTTCACAAAGCCAAGAGCCACCTTTTTGTAGATGGTAGTTAGGAAATGAAATACCTTTAGAGAACCAGGCCTTGTATCTACCAGCATGACCGATAATTGATCTTAATTGCAGTACATGTTTATAAGTAATGATTCTCCCATGCAATCCACATATGCAAACCAGAGACTCCACAGGGATCCATGTGGACAGGAGAATCTGCCTTTAAGTTCCCTAAACCTTTGGGACTGGGACCACAAGGAATGTTTTTGTTGATTTCAGTGGTTTTTGGATTAGACCCATCATTTCTAATTAAGTAAAACTATATTGTTGAGGTCTGTCACTCCAAAAATATTTGTAAAAAAGCACAAGTAAAAATCTTATGGTCTTTAAACTGTATTTTGTCATAGTCTATGCATGTTTTCATTGCTACCTTTGGGCAGCGCCAACTGCATTTCAATTACTTCCTAAATACTATTTTTGAAAGAATGGCCGCCCATTTTGTGAAGGATTCTGTCTCATTTCTTTTTTTCCTTAATACTGTTCCACACTCTGCACTCACTTAACTTAGTATGGGTCAAGATCAGGCCCTACCTATACAACCAAAGTGGATTTTACAAATTTCAATAATTGTACAGAATATACATCTTGGTCTTGGATATTTATGCTTAGATACTGATGCTGTAGACAGTTACTTTCAAACCAGATCTGAGTAAGAATGCAGTTGGAATGTAGCTATAGAGTCCTACCAATATAATCACTCGTACCTTATTCTAGGGCCAGAGCTGCCTACGATACTGTAAAAAAACAAGGCTTCCACCTACTGTAAAATTAGCCAAACACCTGTAGGCAAACAGACCAGATTATGACTAGAAATATTTGTCAGTACCTTAATGTCAGCTGGGGTTGCAATTCATGCATGGCATTCTATAACAGCAGAAGTCTAGTGTTGTTGAAATTATACCAACTATAAAGGTGTTTTTGTTGGTACAGCTTTGTTTCTCTCTGGAAGCTCTGGCAAACCTTTTGTAGCTTAGTCCTCCTACAACATTAAGATGTCTGCATGCACTCTGGTTTGTTATTCAGGTAGTTGACCGGATTTTAGATTTGAGGCTTTCTGAACAAACAGTATTTTTTTAAGAAAGAAAAGAAATCTCATTCCAAACAACCTCTTAAAATCAGAAAGAGAGGAATTGCCACTAGATAAGAAATGTCAATTAAAAAAAGCCAGACATGCCATGGAAAAGCAGTTGCCCAATTTTATTTGGATTTTATGCTGTATTAAATAGGACTGAGCCCACAAAATTCCAGGAAGTAACAAGTTACTTTGGATAGTACCATTAAGAACGTATTGTTTCCCCTTTCCTTTGAAGATGTGCTAGAACCTACTTTCTTTCTATGTTATTCTGAACCTCGCCCCCCAAAAACCCCCCTCATGCATGTGAAACATGATTTGGGACACTGCACCTTTAATATGCCACTTATGTGCTTCAACATATAACCATCAAAATGTGACACGGCGGTAACAGGTCATCCAAGAAGCCGTCTACCACACGCTATTGTTGCACATAAATAATAACAAGGCACAGAACAGCAACGAGTCCAAGAGCTTGTAAACCAAGGAACCAGAGCATAATCCAGAAGAATATGATTATTACAGGTTCCACAATCCGCTCTCCAAAATACATCCTTGTGAAGCCTATGCTGATAAGGCTTTTGTTTAGTTCTCCAAACAGAGTCCCCATTTTTTTATAGTCATCTACAACTGGTTCAGTAGTGTGGTTTCTTTGTTCATGCTGGACCTGCAAACAGAACACAAGAGTGGGAAATAGTTTGGAAAACAAAAGATTATCATCATTTCCATCTAACCACAACCTGCAGATAATCTTAGCTATTTCCATTTTATGGAATAAAAATTGAACAAAATATACCAACATGAAGAAACTCAGTTACAATTTCAATAAATGGATTAAAGTGATTCACAGAAAAATAAGAATGGAAGAATTTCATAAAATGACCTAGTCCAACCTAATACTCAGAGCAAGTCCAGTCCTATTTAAACGATCCTAAACAAGTGTTTGTCTCACTCTCACCTGATCTTAAAATCCTCCACTGAAGATTCCAAAGCCTCCCTAGGTGATCTGTTTTAGTGTTTACCAACCTTTAAAGTTCTTCCTACTATCTAACCTAAATTTCCCTATTTATCAGTGTAAGGCTTTTACTGCTTGCCCTGTCCCTTGCAGCCCGAGAATCATCTTCCATCATCTTTTGTAACCATTTTTAAGGTATTTGAAGACTGTAATCAAAACCTTCGCCCTCAACCCCCATCCCCAAATTCTCTCTTCTCCAGACTAAATAATCCCAGTTCTTTCAACCTTTCCTTGCAAGTTATTTGTTACAACTGGCAGTAAGAAGTCAGAACCATAAGAGCCCAAACCCATAAACACTATACAAATGATGGTTTGTAGTCTTCTGATACAGATGAAAATTTTTGCACAGGATTAAAGGAAACAAAAGGAATATTATTAGCTCTGAAAGAAGACCCAGTGAGGACCAGCTAGGCCTGGAAAGGTGAAAAACACGCTGCTAAAGCTATGGAAACTTTAGTGTTCTGGAGTACAGCAAGAGACAACCAGATGTGGGAAGAACTAGGTAAAATAAAGACAATAAAGGAACATTTATACCATAGAAAAGGGCTTGACGCCTGTTCAAAACAGGACTGCACAGAGCAAACAATGTGGAACATGGCAACTGAATCTCTCTCATGCAGCTCCACAAATGCTACTACAAAAACTAAAGACTGGCAGCCGTCTCTATTTTACAACAGACTAGAGGCTGGAACAGTGATTACAAGGGAAGGGCTTGAATTCCTTCCATCCTGCCTTCATAGTTTCATAGTAGCTAGGGTCAGGAGGGACCTGATCAGATCATCTAGCCTGACCCCCTGCCACAGGCCTTGACTCTGTACAGTCCCTTGCACAAAGTCTAATCGCTTGGGCCTAAAGAGATGAAATACATGCTTAACAAGTGCAATGTCAAGGTGATCAGGCATCCAGGATACATAATTTGGCTAATTCTTCCACTCGTAACAACCAAAGCAGCAACAGCCAACAAATCAATATTTGCAGCTACCTGGCTGCAAACCTTATGTAGTTATTAAGGGTTCATTATAAATAGAGTTTATAGAAGAAGGGAATACTCTGCCCAATCTAGATTAATATTCAAAATATAATTTGCAGCTTCTGTTATATTCATAAAAGAGCAGAGTGATGCTGCTTCCTGAGGAAAGACAGTAATTGGCTTCCTCCTGGAGCCTTTCTGACTAATTGATAATGGAATGCATCTACCCCGCTCCCTCCATTAGAGAATCTAGTAACCCATCATTTTAAAATGCTGAATTCTCATTAAAAATAAAGCGCTGAAACTCATCTTCTACAACAACAAAACAGCCAAGTGGCAGCGAATGTTCTCAGCATCTTTTTCCAAAACAGATGTTAGAACATGCTGATGAACTCTCATATGGAAAAGAACATTAGTTACAAGAATGTCTAGTAATAGCTGGAACAGAGGCACTCTTGCTAATAGTGGTCTGGTGCATAGGAAATTTTTTTCCTAGTCTGTTCACAAAATTAGCTATGCATTTTGAACATTAGTAATTAGTCAAGAGACAGGAAGGGAAAAATAAATAGTGATTAAATATTATTACATAGATACATGGCTGCCTCAACTTAAAATTTCACTTCTTGATCATATACATTGTCACACTCCTTAGGAAAGGTCAGTGTGTTAGTAATTTCTCCAGTCTACTGAAAATAAATATAAAGAGAGATAAACAAGTTAGGGATAACAAAAAAAAGTGAAACTGAAAACAGATAATCAACCATGAAATATAGATGACACATTTTTCTTAAGTAGCGCTACATAATCGTTACACATACTTGCCGAGTACTTTCTTCAGGGGCAGAGCTACACTAGCACTGTCAAAGGCAAAAATACTTTAACAGGTAAAATACTTCACGCTTGCTAAAGAAATATTTACTCAATGAGACCTAACTTTAGGCACAATCCTACTGAATTAAAATAAATACTAAAACAATAAAAAGTTACACACATCAGTATTGCAGCCTGTGTGCACCCATTTTCATTTTTCACAAATGATTTTTTGACCTTTATTTATTTTTTAAGAAATCATATTTGCAATGTTTCCAAAAAGAGACATTTTGATTAGACCTATTATAGACTGCAAAACACCAGCTTTCTAATGTGAAAGCCCTAGAAATTACACTTTAAATTGCTGCTAGTCTTCTTTACAATACATACAATTTAATAATTTCTTTAGTAATGTTTAATCAATAATTTGTACCCTCTACAACCCCACTTTGTTTCCCTCCAATTTGGTCTATATTCAGAAGCCATTGTTCATGGTATGATTTCCCAGGCCTGCAACTAATAGATGCTCATCAGTGAGCCTCACCACCTTTTTATTTGCCAAAATGCATAGGGGAAGCTGGCACAAAGTTACTGTTTGAACTCTCTTGTACCACCTTTTACCACTGTTTAAAGTGCCTGAGAGGTGAAGAAGGACATGAAGTAAATACAGTGAGGGTGCTCTTGGATGGACGGTTTCTAAATGAGGCACACAGTCCAGAAGTTACAGGAAGCTATGGGATTAAGACAGCTGTGCAAAGGCAAGCAGCCACTATGTACTGTAGATCTTAGGGGAAAAAAATTACAAAAACAAAAATAGCTCACCCTTAGGGAATTAACAAAAAGGGGATGGAATCTACCACTAAGCCCTTACCCCCAAAAGTTGCAAAATTGTTTTCAATAACTGCAAAATTGAAAGCAAATGCCATGAACTAAATCTTACTAGATTTTCACGCATTAAGATGTATTCCTCTGAAGTAGTAGTTTTACTATTTTTCAAAACAAAAACAAAAAAAACCTTAAATGTTTTGGTTGTCTATACATCCTAAAAGCAAAGTGGTCTTCATATTATTAATCAAACTGTTAACATGGATTGATACAATCCTGATAAAGAAGAAATATATTGCATATGTTAAGTGCAGTGGTCATTACTAGTAGAGTCAATGGCTCCTCTTTCAGGTAGACTCTATTCCAGCCAGCAAGCAGTTAAAACACATGTGTAGCTTTACTTACATGAACAGTCTTATTGAAGGTAAAGTTCTTACATCCAAGTAAAGTTATACCTGCTTTTAAGTGTTTACATGATCACGGTCATAGTCTACTGCAAGTCAGAGAGAACGGTTAGAATAAATAGTTGCCTGGTGTGAAAAAAATCTGCGTAGGGTTATAGTAAAGCCCTCTTACTTGCCAACAAATATCAATAATTTACCACAGGCATTTAATCAGTACAACATGTAAAATAAATTGGAATCTCACAACTGTATTTTATTTGTGATAAGTTTGCCTACTTCTCACTGACTGCAAGACTGACTGCATATGTTCAGGAAAGCACGTGATAACTTTGTGGTTTATACCCAGTTGGTACAAGAGTGTTTCAAATGGGTGGGGAGGGGGGGTGTAGGTGGCGGGACAGTGGGAACAACTATTTTCTAATTGACCCTCCCCCAGTAATATCCATTTTAACCACTTAAATAAGTCAATACCATCCTTTAGATTCCATTATACCATAACTATAAACTCCCCAAATAAAGCAATTGCATAAGAAGAAAGGATTCAAGCTACAGTCATTACAACTTGCCTTTGAACTTTTATTTTTAATTTTCTAAATTATTTATTACTATTTACTATATAAATCCAAAGCTAATGTCTCTGAAGGTTCAATTCCTTCAGGTGCTAGATGACCGGAGTCATCCACCTAAGTCAGTACACATGCTGCACTGATGGAAAGTACTTGCAAAGCATGGAAGGAAAATTCAAACTCAGGAAGTTACTTCTACTGCACACTGCAGGGTGGGATCGGGTGTGTCAACACAAAGGGGCTTTCATTTCTCTCACTTTGTTAGCTGCAGTACCAGTGGCTTGTGCTTTTCAGGAGGTCAGACTGGATAATCATAGATTTGAAGGCAGAAAGAATGCTTCTGGAGTTCAGTGAAACTCCATTTAATAGATTTTAAGAGGACAAAAACATTTCAAAACAAAACAAAAACCTCTTCTCCCTTCCCCTCCACCCACCCACACTTATTTCATGATTTAAGAAATCTTTACTGCATTTTTGGTGCTTGGATACCTACCAGATAAAATTAAAAATCTCTCTCTCTGAAGCATGCATCTCTAGCAAGAGTGCAATACCAGAACTGATTATAGTTTTATCTGTTTTAGTCTTCTCTTTCTTTTAGCAAAACAACACCAACATGGTGGGGTACTAACAAATGTTGACTTCCCTCAGGGTGGGAATGTCTACACGCTACAGTGGTTTGGGAAATATGAAATTCCCATGAACCTCTGCCAGCTTAAACCCTGTAATTGTAAGCTAGGGAAAAACAAAAAACTTAGAGCAAAAGGCAGAACGGAGGAGAGAGAAATAAAACTAAAATATGTTAGTTAAGAGAGAAAAATAAGCCCAACAGAACAACAACATTAAAAAAAAAAAAAAGCAGCACAGATAAGGAGCCCTGTTTCCAGAAGAGTTGATTCAAAACACAGCAAAAGCAATGAATAAGGCCCAATTACTTGAACAAAGTTACAAAAAGAAAAGCATTTAAAACTATCACTTTTATCTTGGTCATAAGAACTCTGATTTTGAATTTAAGATCTAATTATGTTTTGCAGAGTCACAAAAAGCTTTTAATCAATAAACACTAAAATTAATTGTTGT